AAAAAAAAAAAAAAAAGAAATGGGGGCTCATTGTGCTGTCCTAGCTAGAGTCCAACTCCTGGGCTCAAGCTATCCCTCCTTCCCTGGCCCCCTGAGTAGCTGGGATTACAAATGCATACCACCATCCCTGGGGAGTTTGCAGTTTTAAACAGGGTGGCTGGGGGAAGGGCTCACTCAGAAGATAACCATGTGTGAGGAAGGCGGGAGCACATCTGGGATCACAAAACAATGAGGGGCCAGTGTGGCTGGACCTCGGTGAGCTACGGGAAGAAGAGAGGACAGAGAGGTAATGGTGAAGTGGTCATTTAGGGCTTTGCATGACCTTGTAAGCACTTCAGCTTTTTTTTTTTTTCTTTTTTTGAGACAGAGTCTCAAGCTGTCGCCCTGGATAGAGTGCTGTGATGTCATAGCTCACAGTAACCTCCAACTCTTTGGGGTTTTTTTGTTTGTTTTTTAGAGTCAGAATCTCACTTTGTTGCCCTCGATAGAGTGTCGTTGCATCACAGCTCACAGCAACCTCCAACTCTTGGGCTTTAGGCAATTCTCTTTGCCTCAGCCTCCCAACTAGCTGGGACTACAGGCGCCTGCCACAATGCCCCGCTATTTTTTTTTTTTGTTGTTGTTGCTGCTGCAGTTTGGCTGGGGTGGGGTTCGATCCTGACACCCTCGGTATATGGGGCCAGCGCCCTACTCACTGAACCACAGGCGCTGCCCACCTCCAATTCTTGGGCTTAAGCGACTCTCTTGTCTCAGCTTCCCTAGTAGCTGGGACTACAGGTGCCTGCCACAATGCTTGGCTATTATTTGGTTGCAGTTGTCATTGTTGTTGGCAGGCTCGGCTGGATTCGAACCCACCAGCTCCAGTGTATGTGGCTGGCGTCCTAGATGCTGTACTCCAGGCACTGAGCCAGCACTTCAACTTTGTAAGAAGTTCTCTGGGCTTGTGACATGATCTGACTTAGACCAAAAGATCTCCCTGGAGGCTACATAGATTCTATTTCAAAAAGAACACACAAATGTACCTCTAGTGGTACTACTCAGAGACACAGGTAGACAAAGAACTTATGAATCCTGAGAGAGGGCAGCACCTGTGGTTCAGGGAGTAAGGCACCAGCCCCATATACTAAGGGTGGCAAGTTCAAACCCAGACAGACCTGGCCAAACTGCAACAAAAAATAGCCGGAAGTTATGGCAGGTGCCTGTAGTCCCAGCTACTTGGGAGGCTGAGGCAAGAGAATAGTGTAAGCCCAGGTGTTGGAGGTTGCTGTGAGCTGTGACGCCACAGCACTCTACCGAGGGTGACAAAGTGAGACTCAGTCTCAAAAAAAAAACAAAACAAAACAAAAAAAGAATCCTGAAACTTGGCTCAGCGCCTATAGCTGAGTGGTTAAGGCACCAACCACACCAGGGGCTGGTGGGTTCAAACTCAGCCAGGACCTGCTAAACAACAATAACAAAAAAAAAGCAGCCAGCCATTGTGGTGGGTGCCTATAGTCCCAGCTACCGACTTTGAGGTTGCTGTGAGCTGTGACACCATAGCATTCTACAGAGGATGACATAGTGAGACTCTGTTTCAAAAAAAAAAAGAGAATCCTGAAGCTTGGCCAGGCGCAGTGGCTCAGGCCTGTAATCCCAGCCATCTGAGAGGCCGAGGCGGGAGGATTGCCTGAGCTCAGGAGTTTGAGACAAGCTGGGTGTTGTGGAGAGCACCTATAATCCCAGCTACTCAAGAGGCTGAGG